TTGGCTCCTGTCTGTAATCCTAGCTACTGAAGAGGCTGAGATCCGAAGATCACAGTTCAAACCCAGCCTGGACAGGAAAAGCTGTGAGACTCCGATCTCCAATTAACCACCAGAAAACTGGAAGTAGTGCTGTGGCTCAAAGTAGTAGAGTGCTAGCCTTGGGCAATAAGAGCTCAGGGACAGTGCCTAAGCCCTGAGCTCAAGCCCCACAAGCACAAAAAAGAACTTGTGTGTTCACTAAACATTACATATAATAAAGAGTGCTAGGAATCAAAATACCATCACACTGAGTAGTGTTCATACATTACTAACAATAAAACCATGAAGTTCTTTTTAGATATTTGAATTAACAGGGAATGGAAGGAAACCTATGATACACTATAGATTTAAAAAAATAAAGAACTTTTAAAAGGGAAGTTTCATGGAATAAAACAGAACTTTATGTTTATATTAAACATGATACAAAAGAAGTCTGCAAGGATATATGCCCTGTAGCTTCCACAGAAGCTACTGGTCATTTTACTAATTAAGATGGGACTATAGTAGGGGTCAATGGCTCCATGACTGCTTGCAGTTTTGATTTTGGTTTTTTTTCCCCCTTTTGCAACCAAAGAATGTATATTATTTTAATAAAGTATGATACAAAAACATCCTCTGCTTTGCTTCCCTAAGACCTGTCAGTCTCCACCCAGGACCCCAGAGGAATCCAAGATGGCACACTGTGACCTACAAACAAGACAGTACAAGGGCTAGTCTGTGGCGCTCAGCCCCTGTGCCCCGTACAAAACACACACAGGACAAAGCACCTGTCTGCTGTTCTCAAGTGGCAGAGGGATCCAGGCCTAAGCCCAGGGCTACTCTCCTTCTCAGAGCAGCCTCATTTCCTCTGAGATAAACCATGCAGAGGACTAAGAGGCCCCACAAATCCTTCCAGCAAACATACAAGTCAAACAAGTAAGTACCATTTACCCTGCAAGGGCCTCTTCAAGTTTACAAGGTGTGGGAGGAAGCAGGCAACAAAACCAGCCTTGTCTAGCCAGGTAGTCCTCTGCCTTCAGGCCCGGAGGGGAATAAGACTATGGCCACCCCATGTCTCAGAGAGCTGTGGTCAATCCATCACCTGGGTATCTCATAGGAAAGCACCTACCCCAGACCTGATGAGTGAGCAGACAGTGAGAGGAGCAGGGAGCCTGACAGCTCACAGACCCCCCCTCCCCGCCCCTAGCTCTCCCTGGCCTCTTCTCCTAGTGGGGTCCTTGTGAGGACTCAGTAAAGACCATAGGTCTAGAAGAACTAAGCTGGAGAACCATAATAACCAGGACTGATCTGGATCCCACCCACATAACTCCTGACATCAAGGGCCAAAGCCACAGGGAAAGAAAGAGGATTGGGGCTGGGAATGTGGCTTAGTGGTAGAGTGCTTGCCTAGCATGCATGAAGCCCTGGGCTCAATTCCTTAGTACCACATAAACAGAAAAAGCCCAAAGTGGTGTTGTGGCTCAAGTGGTAGAGCACTAGCCTTAAGTACAGAAAGGCTCAGGGACAGAGCCCAGGCCCTGTGTTCAAGCCCCAGGATTGGGGGGGAAAAATAAAGAGGAAGGGAAAAAACTTCCCACATCTTTTAGGAGAGGGGCACAAACAGGAAAGGGGAAAGGAGCAGTAGAGGACAATCACAGTCTGAATGCTTGAATGTTTCAAAAGCCATGTTAGCCTTCAGAAAGCCAGAGAACTGGAGACAGAAACTAAGCCTTAGAAATTTTTGTTTTTCACAAGAAGCTGAAATTTTAAATCTTCCCTTTTTTATTTTTTGGTCTCTTGAGTTATGAGTTACACACCACACAATGTGCAATATGTAACTTTTAAAGCATGCAATTCAGGGAGTTATGGTGTATGCACAAGGATCTGAATCCACAAGGTTGTGCAATACTACCACTATCTAATTCCAGAACATTCTCGTGACACTGTTTTTCTCAGTGGTGTTTCCATTTTACATCACCACCAGCAATGTATGAGGGTTCCATAAAGAAACCTGCCCCATCACAATCATTGCTACCCCTCCAGCCCAAGACATCTCAAGTGGCAGACATCCCTTTCTAAGCCCTTCGTATGCCCTGAAGTATAACATATGCTACTTTGGGACTGGTTTCTTTCATTTGCTGCTATAGTTTGGATCTAGGAACATGCACCAGAGGCCCATGTGCTAAAGGCTTGGTTCCCAGCCTGGGGCACCATCGGAAGGTAGTAGACCTCAGCCCTCCTCCTCTCTCATCTCCCCAGCTGCCACGAGGTGAGCAGTTTCTTCTGCCCTGTTTTCCCACAGTGATGTGCTGTTATACCACAGGCCCAGCAGCAGAGAGCCCAAAAAAATCATGGACTGAACAGTCTACACAGGAGCCAAAACACATCTTCCCTCCTCACCAGCTGATGATGTCAGGCATTTGTTACCTTAGTGGAGGACACAGGCATCTGCCATGTTTTCATGCTGCATCACATCCACTGAAGGGGAATGCCTAATTATTCACTAGGTAGCCAGTGCTGGAGTTCATGCCTATAAATCCTACTTAGGAGGCTGAGATCTGAGGAGTGAGGTTGAAAGTCAGCCCCAAGCTGAAAAATCTGACTCTTATCTTTAATTAACTACCAAAAACAGCAATGGAGTTGTAGTTCAAGTCGTAGAGTGGTAGCCTTGAGTGAAAAAGCTAAGGGACAGCACCTAAACCCTTAGTTCAAGTTCCTGCATCAACATGGATGTGTGCACATGTGCATACACACACACACACACACACACACACACACACAGATACAATGAGAAGACAGCAACTCTTTGAAATCCCACCAGAGATGTAAAGATTGAACCAAGCCATAAGGATCAGACAAATCTAAGCTGTAAGACACCCCATAAAGCAGCTAGCCTGTGGCCTTCAAAGCATCAAGGACGTGAATGTCAAAGAAGGCCTAAGAACTACTCCTAACTGAAGAAGACCAAAGGAGACATGACAGCTCCATGCCATGCTTCACTCTGAACTATAGAAGACCCTCTTGAGACTGGTAAAGCTCGTGAGATGATCACACAGGGATGACACTAATGTTTGTATTTCTGTTGTATAGAGCACCCTTGTTTCTAAAAACTACACAAACATACTTAAAGGAGTGATGAGGTATAAAGCTGACAGATTAGTCTTAAAGGGTATTAGCAGGGGCAAGACTGCATACTTGCACACTTTCTGCACGTTTTTCAGTTTTAAAAAGTTTTTTAGCCAGGTGCTTGTGGCTTACGCTACTTAGAAGGCTGAGATCTGAGGATCGCAGTTCAAAGCCAGCCCAGGCAGAAAAGTCCATGAGACTCTTATCTCTAATTAACCACCAGAAAACTGGAAGTGGTGCTGTGGCTCAAGTGGTAGAGCATTTGCCTTGAGCTGAAAAGCTCAGGGACAGAGCCCAGACCCTGAGTTTAAGTCCCACGACACCCCCCCCAAAAAAAAAAAAAAAAGTTTTTCAAAGTCAGGTACCAGTGGCTCATGCTTGTAATCCTATATACTCAAGAGGCTGGGATCTGAGGATTGCAGTTCAAAGCCAGCCTGGATCGGAAAATCCATGAGACTCTATCTCCAATTTAACCACAAAAAGCCAAAAGTAGAGCTGTGTGGCTCAAGGTGGTAGAGTGCTAGCCTTGAGAGAAAAAGCTCAGGGACAGCACTCAGGGCCTGAATTCAAGGACTGGTGCATATGCACACGTGAATGTGAGCATGCACATGCGTGCGTGGGCACATACACACGCGTGGGCACGCACGCACGCACACACACGCACACACACACACATGCACACATACATACATGCTTTTCAGCTGAGCACCAGTGGCTCACACCTGTAATCCTAACTACTCAGATATGAGGACCATGGTTCAAAGCCATCCCAGGCAGAAAAGTCCATGAGACTCTTATCTCCAATGAATCTCCAAAAAGCCAGAAGTAGAGCTGTGGCTTAAATGGTACAGTGCTTTCCCTGAGCCAAAAAAATAAAATCTCAGGAACAGTACCCAGGCCCTGAGTTCAAGCCCCAGGAATGGCACCAAAAAAAAAAAAAGTTTTCAATTTAAGTGAAAAGAAAGCAATGAGGACAATGCTGTGCTGACATACCAGTTTTAAGAGTACCCCCAAGGCTCTGCTTTTGCTCAGGGATCAAAAACGCTCTGCTGGGGACTGACTATGCCTCTGTACTTGAGGGAACTTCATCTCTCCCAACCAGAAATCTCCCAGCATCCACAGACACAGCACCTATCATGAGCCAGAACAATTCAGACTGGGAGCTACAAAGAGAATGTGCAGTGTCACACACAGGAACCAGTGCTCCAGCAAGCTACCACTCACCCCTCTGTGTAGGTGAAGATGCGGTCTTGGGAACAGAAAGCACCAAGAGCCACAGGCCACACCCACTCTCAAATCACGCTGGTACAGCTAATATTTCCAAATTCTTTTTCCTCTGTATTTTTTAAAACTATCTTTAATTAGTTGTACAAAGGAGTCTTAATTCAACAGGTTATGAATACAATGAATCTTGATCAATGTCAACCTACCATCATACTCTCCCATCTCCCCCAACACCCTCAAGTTATGTGGTTCATTTTGCACATAGGCACATGGACTATAATGACTACATTCCCTTGCCCTTCTGCTCTCCATTTCCCTTCTTTTTAATCTCACATGAGCCACACAGAGGAATGAGGTCTAGGTGCTTACACCTTAGCCTCAGTCAAACCCCTCTGCCACTCTCCACACAGTGAACCACCTCTGACCCCCTCCTGGAAGCCCCTGGGATATTCGTGATGATGTGTAATGTGTGTGAAGATGTGACTACCACGGTTTCCATCGCTGACTGTGGCTGCCAGGAAGAAAAGGGCTGAGCCCTTGCTCCCCAATACCCCTATGTCATTCACAAGGCAGGTATCCAGAAATACTTGCTCAAATGATCATGTGGGTGGCCGCTGGCTACCCAGCCCTACCTGCTGCTGCTGGGCCCGGAGATCACCGATCTCCTTCTGGTCCTCCTCGTGGAGCCGCTTCATGTCCTCCCAGGACTGCTGTAGTAGGTTCCGCTCCCGCAGTAGCTGCCCGTTCTCCCGCCTCAGCATGTCTACATCGTCCTTCAGCTGAGTCTGGTCACTCAGGAGCCGGCTGTGGAGTGTGCTAAAAGCCCCCCACAGACATACACACTGTCACCACAGCTGGGCTCACACACCCCCACCTCCACCTTGAGACCTCACTAACCCCTCCCGCCCAGCATCACCAATGAAGACCCAGACAAGACTCCACAGCAGCTTGGCCAGCAGCACTCAGAAGTAGGCCAAAATCAGTAAAAAGCCAACTTCCAAAAAGACTCAAACCACTTTTCTATTTGGTGATACTGGGGTTTGAACTCAGAGCCTCATACTTGTTTAGTTAGGCAATGTATTACTGATCCATGCCGCTCGTCCATTTTTGCACTAGTTAATTTAAGATAGAGTCTCAAGTTTTGACTGTGCATATATTCAACCAATATTGATATTGAACCAATATCCGCCTATTTTATGCTTTCCTTGATAGCTAGGATAATAGGTACATACCACTAAGCACAGAGTCTTCGTCAAGAGGGAGTCTCACAAGAGGTTTCTTTTTCCTATATAGGCTAGCTTTGAACCTTGATCTTCCCACGTAGCTAGGATTACAGGCATGAGCCACAGCTCACACCTGGTTTCAAATCACTTTTTAAAACCTTGTCACGCAGAGGTATCTTCCAAGGCAAGGAAATTAGCCTTTACCTGGTAAAGGCCTGGTTCCTCCAAGTACTGGGAACTAGGCAAACATCAGCAGGTGGGAAGACAAAGACTGTCTGAGGGGCACCAGGAGACCTAAGAGTGCATGGGCCATCTGCCTGTGCCACAGAAGCTGCAGCAAAGCCCCAGACAGAGGCCCAGAGGCCCAGCTCAGGTCTGCCTGAGCTCCTGCCTTATGTAATAAATCACTTTTCTACATATGTGCTTTGGAAGCTGGCAATTATTTTACATTAGAAAACCTGAGGTCCGGGGCAATGGCTTGCTTGCTAAGAGCTATAGGCAGAACTAGAACCCAGGCTCCTGGCTTTACCAGAGACAAGGGGAGATGGTAATGGTTCCATGGGTGCTAGGGCTGCCGGTAAGCAGGCATACTCACTGATAGAAGTCGGTCTCCTTGGCCACCTCCTCACACCTCTTCAACGCATTGGTGTGCTGGTTCTGCAGACTCTGCAGGTCAGACATGGCCCGCACACACTGGATTTTCAGCCTCTCGTAGTCAGGATTTAGCCTGTGGTAGGGCCTGGTCCAGAGAGCAAAACACCCTCATGAACACAAACCCCAAGGTTCATGATGACTGAGGACTGTCCTAAAGGTTCCCAGCCCCATGACTCCTACATCCTGGCCCCTTACAAACCACAGTCACCAGGTACTTTTTAAAATTTGGTTATCCTGGCCTCCTTCAACCAACAGGGGCAGGAGCCCTCTGATGGAGGAGCCTCGGTGTCTGAGGCCCCTGCCTGGGTCTAACAGTGATGAACAGGGGTCAACTTGTTCTCTAGAAGCTCCCAGGAGTCTGTGCCATAGGCCCAGCTCTACTAGAAATTTGTCTTCAGAACAATGATTCTCAATCTTGAGTACACATTAAAATACCAATCCCTTACTGATTATGTTAGTATTCCAGGGCGGTGGAGGTGCTGAGACCCAAACGTAAGATTTTTTTTTTCCAAGTGGTTTGTTTTTGCAATGCTGAGAACTAAGCCCAGGGCTTCACACATGCTCAGCAAGTGCTCTACCATGGAGACAGAGCCCAGCCTAGGACTGTTTTATGAGCTCCACAGGGGACTCCATGGTGCAGCCAAGGTTAAGAATGGCCAAGTACAGTGGGAACCCCCCAGACCTACAGCACTGTATCATCCAGGAATTTGTCAGACATGCAAGTTCTCAGGCCCAGCCATAGACGCCCAGAATCACGTGCCCTGGAGTAGGGAAGCATAACTGGCCCCTTGTGCTTCTACAAGTTTGCTGGAAGATTCTCTTCAGTGTGGAAGCCCCTTCTCTACAGAAAGGATCAGAAAACTTTTTTTTCCCCCAGTCAAGGGCTAGTTAGCAAATACTTGGAGCTTTGCAGACTACACAAGTCATAAGTACTTTGACTCTGCCTTGACTGCACAAGATACAGCCTTAGACAGCATGTAACAGACGAGCATGACAGGCTAATGCACCAGCTCATGTGCTCATACATTCATGCTTACATGCATCCTGCCTTGGTGTCATCTGAGGGGCCTGTTCTCATTGAGATGGCCTCAGCAATCAGGCATCATCCTAAAGGCACAGACTAAAAACACACTGACTCTTATTGTTCCTAAGGCAGAGGTTAAATTCAAATGTTTGAATGAGGTCCCCTTACTGGACCCCTACCACTGTAGGAACTAAAGGAATAACAGCTCTGTGTCCTTCTTCCTCCTGCAGGAAGGCCTGTGGGTCAAGCAGGTACACAGACTCTCTCCCTGCGCCCACCCCATTGCCCTAGTATCTACCTCTAAAACCCAATAAATGGAGCAATGATTTTCTTCAAAACAAGGGTACTGGGTAGATTGCCCCTTCCTAAGAACACACATGGCAGAGAACAGTTAAAGTGTTTACGGATCATAAAGAGCCCCTCTCAACAATGAGGCAGGCTGGGATCTTCTGGGAGGTAGTGGCAGATGTGCATACATGCCTAGGAATGGGATACAGCAGACAGGGGATCGAGGGGAGGCCCAGAGTGAGGGAGAGATGAGCCCAAGGCCTTCCACCCACCCAATGAGAAGCACCAAAGTAGGACCAGAGGCTTCCCACTGCTGCCAAGACCACCAACCCATCACCCGCAAGGCTAGGAGGCTGGTATCCGCTCTTCAGTCACAAGCACACCATGGTCAGGGTGATAGGGGAAAACACATACACTCTTCTCAAATCACCAAGTTATGTGACTTTCAAGGAAGCAGAACAAGCCTGTGTGCCCAGGTTTCAGGTTCTGTCTCTGAGGAGTAGTTTGGGACACACAGTTGGGTCACAGGGCTGCCCTGGGAATGCAGCCTGGCCCCTAGGAGCTAAGGGTAAGTGACTGGGGAGATGCATGGGCTACATGGAGCCAGGAGTCATTACTACCTCTTGTCGAAGGTTGTCCCATGGGTTGCGAAGGCCAGGCGCTTGCGCAGTTCATTCCTCTCACGAGTCATCAGTCGCAGCTGAATGGAGAGGTTCTCCACCTTTTCGTTCACCTGGCGGTCGGTGAGGAGGGGTGGCGGCGACGGTGCCTTCCCAGTGGTACCTGTGGGCAGGTAACTGTAAGTGAACTTGGGTGCCAGTACTATTCTGAGCCCCTCATTCTGTGATAGAGGTGGGCTCTCTGGCAGCCCCCTTTCACAGGTGAGAACACACAGAGCCAGAGGTGGGACTGCGACCTGAGTCCAGAACCATCAGCCTTTGGCTGAGGACCCCGAGGATACCCACAATCTCCCTTACCTGGCTCTAACACCTCTGGGAATGGTTTAGGGCCCTCATCTTTGCATCCTGGCCTAGTGTAGACATGCTCGCTGTCACCCAGCCCGGGACATGTGGCACATGAGGCAGGAGGGATTACTGGGAGCCTGGAGGAAGAGGGGACACTTGGAACCCAGTGAAGCCACCAGTGTCCAGGAGAGCTGCCCAGAAGCTGGGGCCCACAGGTCAGGTCCCCATCCTTCCCCATCATGACTAGAAGCTTGGCTCAAGACGACGCAACAGTCCTACTGACTTGGGGACTTATCCAAACCACTCTAACTATATCAGCTTGGAGGAGGCTGCCAGCTCACAGCTAAGCCAAATATGATGGAACACATGTAAGCCCTGGGCTTACCTCTGACTGCCCAGCCTACCCCAGGCTCGCAAGCACCTGTCCCCAGCACCACAAGCACCTAAAGAGAGTACTGTGTGTTCCTTATGGTTTTACAAAACATTATTGCCACTCCCATCTCTGGGCAGAATGAAACCCATACATCCACTCAAATGTCCCAGAGAAGAGACTAATCAATGGTGGTTTTATAGCCGGTCCAGTCAACGGGTCCATCTGACAGCCAGGCGTGGTTATTCACACCTGTAATCCCAGCCACTTGAGAGGCAGAGGCAAGAGGATTGTGAGTTAAGAGGCCAGCCTGGAATCAGGGAGACCCCCATCTCAAAAAGAAAATACAAACGAAAGTTCTAGGGGCATATGGCTCAAGTATGGCTGGCATGCTCGAGACCCTGGCATATTCAATCCCCAGACTGCAAAAGAAGTCCACCTAGGGCTGGGAATGTGGCTTACTGGTAGAGAGAGTACTTATCTAGCAAGCATGAAGCCCTTGGTTCAATTCCTCACTACCACATAAACAGAAAAAGCCAGAAGTGGTACTGTGCCCAGGCCCTGAGTTCAAGCCCTAGAAAAAAAAAATTCCACCTAACATCTCACCTCTGCCTTGGGAAACCTGTCAGAGGAGCTCATGGCAGTCATCTTCCTCAGGGGGGCTTAACCACCTGGGGACACAGTACCTGTTTTCTTAGTAGGCCCTGGGCATGCAAGGGTGTGTCTGTGGCATCCTGACCACCCCTCTTCTGCTGGTCCTCATTGGCTGCTGGCTTGGGTAAACAAAGCTAAGTGTCAGTTCCTCCCTTGGCTTCAGGGACAAAAGCTGGGCCTTGTATCTTCTAGGAGAACCAGGGAGGACAAGGAATTCAACACCATAGTGGAGTTGGGTGGGGGTGGGGAGTTGAAGTTATGCTCCCCAGCCCAAGTTTCTAAGCTTCTTGATCTGAGGACCATTATACATTCTTAAAAATTAGTGACAACTTCTAAAGGCTTTTCAAGATATTTTTCATTTGTTTCATTTTGTTTGGTTGAAACAGAATCTTAGTATGTAGTCCAGACTGGCCTGAAATGCAAGAACCTCCTGCATCAGTCTCCCAAGTACGGGGATTACTGGAATGCACCACCATACCTGTCTCCTGCTTTTTAAAATATGCACTTGCACTGTACCTACCCAAGAATTATATACGAGATTAGGGATGACAATCAAGAATTTTTAGCCAGGCACTGGTGGCTCATACCTGTAATCCTAGCTACTTAGGAGGCTGAGATCTAAAACTTGTGGTTCAAAGAAAACCCAGGCAGGAAAGTCCATGAGACTCTTTCCAATTAAACACCAGAAAACTAAGGTAGAACTGTCACTCAAAGTGGTAGAGTTCTAGTCTTGAGCAAAAAGAGCTCAGGGATAGTGCCCAAGCCCTGAGTTCAAGCTCCACAACCAACCAAAAAAAAATAATAATCATCATTTTAAAATATTTAATAGTGTATTCTGGTACTGACACTTGAACTCAGGACTTCAAGCTCTCTCTTGGCTTTTTGTATTTAAGTCTGGTGCTCTAACACTTGAGCCACAACTCTACTTCCACACTGGCTTTTTGCTAGTTAACTGGAGATAAGAGCAGTGATAGACTTTTGTGCCCAAGTTAGCTTTGAACTGCAATCTTCAGAGCTTGGCTTCTGGAGTAGCTAGGTTAAAAATGTAAGCCACCAGTGCCCAGCTCTTTTATTTTTAAAAAAACAAAACCCTATATATTCACACAAGATTGTTTAATGAACCAATGACTACCCTTTGGAGAAAAAAAGGCCGTCCTGAAGAGAGTAGCAAGCTTTGCACTTTGTAAAGTGTCTACAGTCTGGCTTCACGAAGACATACTCCAGGATGGAGCCTTTTGGAAAAATCCCACTCAACACCTGTGTGAGGCTGGAAAAGTGAAAAAGGCAGGTGACATCCTATTACGCTGAATGACACTTTTGTTTTGTTCATCCTGGGGCTTGAACTCAAGGCCTGAGTGCTTTCCCTGAGCTCTTTCTGCTCAAGGCTAGTGCTCTACCACTCTGAGCCACTGCTCCACTTCTGGTTTTCTGGCAGTTAATTGGAGATTGGAGTCTTACAAACTTTCCTGCCCAGACTGGGTTTGAACCCTAACCCTCAGATGTCAGCCTTCTGCGTAGCTAGGATTACAGGTGTGAGCCACTGGTGCCCAGCAAACAAAATAGTTTTGACCTCACAGGCCCCCTCCAAGGACCACTGAGACAGCAGGCCAACCTGAGAACATTCCTTCTATGCTACAAGCAAATTCAAGAAGCAGGTGAACTTGTTTACAGTTGGACATTATTCAAGTTGGCCAAGGAGAAAAGTGGCATAAGCCAAAGTGGTCAGTTGGAGTGGAGATGCCCAGGTTACCTTCTTGGCCACCAACAGGCTCTGGCTATCCAGAGGAGAGTGGTGTGGAGGCAGAACATGGTTATCAGATGCACCAGGCTAGTCTTGCCTACAGCCCAGAACTAGCCAGCACAGACCCCGTCTAGAGCCATCACTTCTCAACAAACCTCAGCTAGGCCACAGAACTCCTTAGCAATACGGACTTTCAGGTGCCAGCCAGCCCCACTGACTCAGAAATGCGGGTCACCCCCAGCCCACAGCACTTGGTGTCTGTCCTCTACCAGTACCTCTGATGCTGATGTAAAGTCTGAGACTTTACATCTGTCCTGGACCAGAGCTGCATCTACAGGCCAGAGTGGGCTTCCCCCAACTTGTCCAAAGTCACTGCAATTACAGGCACCTATCACAGATGAAGTTCAGCCACCACTCAGCCCCTCACTGGAGACTTGGTCTAAACAAGCCTCCAGCTCAGCTCTTCCCCTACCCGGAATGAAAGGGGAGGATTCCGGAGAGCAGCTGCAGCCTTGCCAGTTCTGGCTCTCCAGCCAGACACTAATGCGCTGGAATCCTTGACTCCTGGTCTGCTTTTCAGGAACCCAAAGCAAGACAAGCAGCAAAAACCAGTTGCTTCCAGGTGGCTCCAGGCACCAGAGCACTGCTAGAAGGCCCAATGCAAGTCATCTCTACCCGCTCCCCCTGGTCAGAACTCACCTTCCCCAGAGCTGTTCTTTCTATTCCTCTCCCTCACCTCCGGCTCCTGGGAGCTTTGTAAGATTCGGGCTCATGCCTCACAGCAAGCCCCGTGGACACTGAACTCAACATGTTCCAAGAGAAGGGCATGTTCCCACATGTCTGGTGACTTGAGAAAAGCATGTTTCCCAGGGTTGCTCCTGACCCCAAAGGATGGTCAAAGGTCAGGAAACAGCTTCTGCCTTCCGGGTGACTCCCTTTCTCCTCCAACCCACCAGAAGCCTCCCTCCCCTCCCAGGAGTTGTCTCTGGGACCCAGAAGAAGTTCTTCAGGTACTGCTAACAAGCCAGGAACCTCTCCATTCTTAAGAAATCTGCTACTTTAATCAGCATGGAATTTAAGGCTTATTTTGCAAATACTACCCAGGAATGTCTCTTCCCCATCCTTTAAAACCTCTCCAGTTACCTAGGCTAGGAGAAATTAGGTCAGAATAAATGGAGAAGAAGAAGATATGCTTCTTGAAACAAGCTATCGCTCAGGGCAAGTTGGAGGAACAGGTTACAGTGAAGGGGGTGGGAATCTTGCTGAGCAGAACTCCCCCAAGAGGCCTCTGTGGAAAGGTACTGCAGCCTAAAGTTACTGGCATAGGGGTGATGACCTGTTCGCAGGTGAAGCGAGAGACCATCTGAGGATCCAAGCTCTCCAGGGGAGCCCCCAAGCTCTGGCCATCAAGAGAGAATTGGGATGGCTCACACTACTCTCAGGCTCTCAGCTACTCAGGAAGCTGAGATCTGAGAATCAGAGTTCCAAGCCAGCCCAGGGAAGAAAAGCCTCTGACACTCTTATCTCCAATTAACCAGCAAAAAGCCAGAGTAGAGGCTGGGAATGTGGCTTAGTGGTAGAGTGCTTGCCTAGCATGCGTGAAGCCCTAGGTTCGATTCCTCAGTACCACATAAATAGAAAATGCCAGAAATGGTGCTGTGGCTTAAGCAGTATAGTGCTAGCCTTGAGCAAAAGAAGCTCAAGGACAGTGCCCAGGTGCTGAGGTCAAGCCCCAGGACTAGCAAAAAAAAAAAAAAAAAAAGCCAGAGTAGAGCTATGGCTCAAATGGTAAAGTGTCAGCCTTGAATGAAAAAAGCTAAGGAAGAGCAACAGGCCCTGGGTTCAAACCTCAGTGTGTCCTCTCTTCACAACACACACACACACACACACACACACACACACACACACACACACACACACACACACACACACACACACACACACACACACACACACACACACACACACACACACACACACACACGACAAAGGCAGAAATCTGGGCAGTATACCCAAAAGCCTCAAATGCTAAGAGCTGCTAGTATCCATCAGAAGCAAGGAGGGAGATCCGGGGCCATTCATGTCTCAGTGTCTTCAGAGAACATGGGCCTTACTGATACTCTGACCTCAGACTTCTGGCCTCCAGAACAAGCAGTCCCACTGCAGAAGCAGGGCAGCCCCTCTCCTCACGCTGCCCTCCCACACTGTCGTGGCTCCTCCCCTCCCACAGACCATAGGATCCAGGGGTGAAGAGATGACATCTGCCTGATAGCACTATGCTCCAAGGCCACCACCCCTGGCATACCACAGGAGTCCAGGAAGCGAAGTAATGAGCCACTGTCCCTGGCTAGCTCTGGAATCTCAGAGTATCAGTCCTCCCATGTCTCTATGGGGCAGGGGAGCATAATAATTGGACCCAAAGATCTCTGTGAGCCGTTCAGTTCAGAAAGTCCAATTACATTCCTAACAAAGCAGACCAGGAGTCAAGGATTCCAGCGTGTGAGTGTCTTATTGGTGTGCACACTGAGGTCATATAGGCCCAGCATTCTCGGAGTAGGACAATCAGAGATGTCTGACAGAGGGATGTAACCAGGGCTCAGAGGCCTGGGAAGGTGAATAGGGGATGTGTCTTTCCTGCTGTCCCAGTGAGCTGGAACAGGGCTGGCCTTAACTGACAGGATTCTGGAACCCAGGCCACTGGAACCCAGGAGGGCATCTGCTACAACATCAACTGGCTCCACTCTTGTCCCAGTAGCCACACACTGTCCCACTTACAGAAGATAACCTCAGAAGGAGTTGGTCTCACTGAACGAGGTCTTTGGGGTATGGAGAAGCAGGCTTACTGAGAAAGCCTACACTCTTAAAACGAAGAAATGGCAAAATATATGGTCTTCAATACCAGCTTCCCTCTTAACACCAAAGTCGGACTTTTTTTTTTGTACCAATGCTGGGGCATGAATTTGGGGACTGGGCACTGTCCCTTAGCTTTTTCACTCAAGGCTAGCACAATACCACCTGAGCCACAGCTCTACTTCTGGATTTTTGATAATTAGAGAGAAGGGTATTCTCAGGCAAGCTCAGAACCTTGATCCTCAGATCTCAGCCTCCTGAATAGCTAGGATTACAGACATGAGCTACTGGCACCTGGCCAGAGCCAGACTTTTGAGACAAAAACAGAAAACAAAACAAAAAGTTTATGGTATCCACAGAAGATGATTCCACAAGTAACTGGGCAGGAAAGACCACTCTCTTCTGATATCTGGGACCCTTCCTGGGCTGTCCTAATTCCAGACCCCACCCTGGTCCATCTGGCATCCCTGGGAGGATGCTACTCACCCACACTGCTGAGCGAGCTGCTACTCTCCGAGTCTGACGGCATGATGGACAGGACACTGTAGGTGGAGCCTGGGGACAGAAGGGGAGACCATGTGTTACTAACCCAAAAGGGCCATGCACAGACAGTCCAAACACTATCAGACCAGCTGCTTTGCAGGCACTGTGAGGCTACCAGAGCCACTGCCACACCAGGGAACTTGAGTCCAGGTTCACGGGAGGTGTGGTGGACATAAGTTAGAACAGGCTTCCACACAGCCTTCTTTTCTTTTTTTTTTTTTTGGTCGGTCATGGGGCTTGAACTCTGGGCCTGGGCGCTGTCCCTCAGCTCTTCAGCTCAAGGCGAGCGCTCTACCACTTGAGCTACAGCGCCACTTCCGGTTTTCTGGTGGTTTTATTGGAGATAGGAGTGTCACGGTCTCTCCTGCCCGGGCTGGCTTTGAACCACGATCCTCAGATCTCAGCCTCCTGAGTAGCTAGGATTACAGGCGTGAGCCACCAGCGCCGGGCTCCACACAGCCTTCTACCTCACTTTTCCACCCCAGAGCTGACCAACATGCAGAGAGAGCCAGGGTAGTCAGGGAGCTGGCTTCTTCTTGGGATACCTGGGACAGATTCAGCTAAGATGCAGCAGGCCCCAGCCCTATTGGGGTATAAAGATTTCCTGCAGTTTTATCAGTATAGTTTTGGCTTCCATGCAGGGAGTGACAGAGCACATAGAAAACCAGCCCAACAAACCACTTTCTCCCTAGCTGTTGTGCTCTTTCATCCTAAGCATATTCAAGCTCCATCGTTGGCCATTTGATATTCAGCGTCTAACCCTCAATACAAGTTACTTAATAGGCTTGGGGTATGACAAACTGGTAGGGTACACACTTAGCATGCATGAAGCCCTGAGTCTAATTGCTAGTACCAAAGAAAAAAAGAAAAGGACTGGAAATGTGGCTCAGAGGTAGTGCCTGCCTAACAAGCACAAAACTCTGAGTTGAGATCCCAGTACTACCAAAAGAAAGAGGAAGAAGAGAGAAAGAGAAAGAGAAGAAAATCAAGTCACTTTAAAAATTATCATCAATTATACTGTCACCAAAGCCAGTAAGCTCATTTTTGTTTGTTTGTTTGCTTGCTTGCTTGCTTGGTTTGTGGGTTTGGGATCCACACTTAATGATGTTAATTGCTGGCTATGGGCATAGAACCATCATGGTTTGGTTTCAATTCAAATGTTTTCAAAACCAGATGGAACCAGGTGCCAGTAGCTTATGTCTGTAATCCTAGCTATTCAGGAGGCTGAGATCTGAGGACCCTAACTTAAATCCAGCCCAGACAAAATTGTCCATCAGATTCTGAATTGCATTTAACCAGCAAAAAGCTAGAAGTGGAGTTGTGGCTCAAGTAGAACACCAGTCTTGAATAAAAAAGCTAAAGAACAATGCATAGGCCCTGAGTTCAAGCTCCAGAACTGACACAAAAATAAAAAAGAAAGGGAGGTGAATGGAGGAGGGAAGAAGGACAGGACAGGACAGGCCTGGTATCAGGAAGAAACCCTAGTCAAGAAGTCCAGGTCCTGAGCAAAGCGCTCAATCTGCCTGCCTCTGGTTCCTGGCCTGCATGATGAGATTCAACTACCTAGGTGATTCTGTGTCTCTCTCCTTTCAGCAATGATATTTCACATGGAAGAATGGAAACAAAGTGTGGGCACTGCTCTCCAAGACCACAACTTGACATGAAACTAAAGACAAGGGCAAAACCAACTCCACTAGGAACCTGGCCTGAACAAGTTCAACAGGCAGAGATGGCAGGTCACAGCACATCTAATGGCAGAGATGCACATTCTATTCCTAGAACGGAAAGAACTATGCAACAAAGAGGTGTGTAGCTGGGCAGAGTGGATGAGCCTGAAATGGGATGTCTGCAATTCAGGCATTGAACAGGTCAGGGCTCTGCTGTCAGAAAGTTGCCAAGAACTGATGAGATCCCAGGTTCCAGAAGTGGAAATGCGGGGTCAGATGTCAAGGGTTCTCTTTCAGCCCAACTCTGGACTTACCATGTAAGACTTGTGTACTCTCAGAAGGTAAAGAAGAGAGATACGGAGATGGGGTAAACAGGGCAGGGACAGGAGGAAGAGCCCACCAGGAGGCAGGAGAGACCCTTAGAGAACAGGGGAAAACCAAAAATGAAGGCCTCAGAAACAGAAGCCAGTTAGCTGGCAGGTATATACCAGCAAAGGAGATGAAAGGAGAGGAAAAAGGAGATTCTAGGGATGGGGAGGTCTAGAACCAGTGGCCAGGAGTGACCAGTGGCCTCATCACTGAGTTGTCTGCAAGTCTCTGAAATCTCTAGTGTACATTGAAGAGAAAGGGGGCCAGGGAGGAAGATGGGCAAGTGTTGGGGTCTAGCAGGACTGTCAAAGGGATTACATTGTCCCCTAGGGCCTCCAGAACCAGCTGGGAACAGTGGGTGATGCTGGACAAGGCTGTAGCTCCACACTGACACAGCGGCCTGGAGAGGAAAGACTAAGAGGACAAGACCACAGGACATCCACTCATCTAGCTCTTACAACAGGCATTAGCACATCATCTGAGGGGAGATAGAACTGAAATACTCCCACATTCAGCCCTAAAATCCTATGTGATCTCACTAGACACATGAATAAATCCTGTCCAGATTCCTGAATTCCAAGTCTGATCCATACCATTACTTTTGCTCTGTACTTCACATCTCCATTTCTGTCTCAGTAGGACAAACGACATCACACCTTTCTTCAAATCCTCTCTCTTCCCACGTCTGTACTCATTAAATCCAATCAGCCAATGCACAGACATCTCCAAGGCACAAAAACCCAACACCACCTCTATTTTCTTAGCTCAACTGCCACACTTTTATTAAATGCTTGCTTTTTTTTCTCTATGACGATAAGGAAGGCTGACCAGCTGGTATGTGGTGGATTGTTTTTGAAAAGACACCTACTCAGGAAAGCAGGCACAAATACACGCTCCCACACACACCTCTAGACATCCATCTCTGTGTTTCAGCTCAACTAAGCCTGTGACAGTATGGCCCACACTCTGGTAGCCAGCAGCCAGACACCACTGCCAGAACAGAACGCTTGCTTCTTTCTCAGTGCTGGCGCCCACAGTGCCCCATCTTCCAGTAAACCACCCCTCCTCTCCACATCGTCTCTCTCCTCCCCCGTGGCGAGTTTCCACTGTTAATTAAGCTTGGCAGACACACTCCTTTCTCTCCACTCGACTTCTTTCCTCACTGGGGGTGTCCACCAGCCAACCTACATATTTTTATCCCTCTTCCCTGTCCCCCAAATCCTGACTGGGCTTTGGAGGCTCACAGGGGTGACATGACATCTTTACCTGCATCTCTGGACATCGCCTTGGCCCCCTACTCCAGGCAGCTGGCAAGGCTCCTGGAGGCCAGTGGGGGGCTACTGATTAAGATTAGACAGGACCCAGTTTTTACGCTGTTCCCAGAGTGTTGGACGTCACTAAGGGGGTAAAGGCCCTGTGCTAACATTGTCTGGATCCTGCTTTGTTTCTGTGGCTATTGTCGTGTTAAAGGCCTGTGTGGTTAGGGCTGTCGGGAAAAGGCAAAGGAGTCACTCCCCCAAGTCACACAGTGTCCCTTCTAAAAACCAGCAGCTTCCAGAAGCTGGGGGGGGGGGGGGCGGGGGAGGCATTAAGAGAGTATCTGATGTCATCTATGTCTCGGATTTCACAATTAAATCTGGAGGCCAAAAGGAGCCCCAGCTCAGCCCAGCGCCTTCTGATGCCCTGTGCAGTCCCCAACTCAAGGGAGGATGCAGGTCCGCATGATCCACTGTAGGCCCGCCCCACACTGATGCCTGAGGCAGCTCAGAACGTATTCCCTGGGTCCTGGGAAGGAGGACAGGGACCACCCTGGTGAGGCTTAGGTGACTGTGGACCGTTGTCATCCCCACTCCCTGGCCACACACAGACACGGGACAGCAGGGCCCCAACCACCACCTCTGGCTTGCTGCTAGTGCCAGCGCCTACAGAGCTATTGAGTAGACCTGAGGAAAGTTAAATGCTATGGAAACAGATCAACAAAAGGCAAATGTATAGGCCCCAGGGTCCTACATGGAGATTCTTTACTGGTCACAGGGCAGGTGTGAGTGGGGCCTGAGAAGACACTGCTAACACCCTCCATTTCAACCAGTGGTGTAGGGATGAAGAATAACCAGCTAACTGTTGATATGCTCTCCCATGTGCCTTTGATAAGAGTAATAAAATAAATCTTATAAATAACGAGTAACCAGGACTGGCACTGGATGCAAATGGAAGTTCACAGAAGCCCAGGGGGAGGCAGAAGCTCCTGGGAGGCAGGTGGCCTGTGACCCTCAGGATCGCCCTGTTACACATATTGTTGGTGTCCTTCCGCAAGAGTCCAGGCCAGCTAATTGTATACTGTGTGACTCAGCCCCACTGAGACCACTTCAAAAGCACTTCCAGTAAAATCCTTCAATAGATAAGGGGACCCATGGCTACCCAGGCCAGGAGATGAGATGGAAGTGCACCCCTTACACACCTCTGCTCATCTGGAGTTACTTACTTCCAGTAAGGCACAACCTTCCCGTCTTTCACAAGGAACACCTGAGATCCCTGGAGAGGGCACAGGGACGCTAACCTCTCCGCCAGCCACTGCAGAAGGAAAGCTGCAGCTCCCTGAAGGCTCAGGGTCCCCAAAGTAGGAGCTACCAGCAACCTTCCCACCCCGAGCCCTTCCTCAGCTCACACCTGCCACTCCCAGAATCCTGCAGGTCCAGTCTCCCCACATCTGTCCCATGCTCTGCAGAACTCTGGGAAACAAGCTAAGGCCCAGGAGCACCAGAGGCTGCTCTGCTGCTGGAAGACTCAGAAGAGGGTTCTCCCCCTCTCAGAGCCTGGGGGCAAAGGAGATAGTAGTGACCAGCCTGGCGCCAGCCTGCCTGGGTTTATTCCCAACTCTGCCATTACTAGCTGTGTGCCCTCAGGTAAATCCCTCATCCTCTCTGTGCCTGCATGCACTTATCTGTAGAATAGGATGTAAGGAATGCTTTCAGCATA